AGGAGGCGTGACAGGAAGTTCACGCCTTTTACCATTCATTAGTTAGGAAACTCCACTGGTGATGAAAAACAAGCCAGACACATTTAGCATCGATTAAGCGTGTTTACAAATATCTCCTTTCGAAACAGTGATTTTATAATGTTTCCGGGCCATTCCTCGAAATAAAATTGGCAAACATGCACAAGAAAACATTTTCCTAATCAAACTATCAAAAATCCTTCGTGTGTTTGCGCAAGATGTGCCTAATGGTATGAAAGCATACGTTTAATGGAAACGTCGACTTGTCAACGACTTGTCAATGTCGGCAACTTAAACTCAACGCAAATTAACATCTATTGTCTAATGACCAATCAAACGCCTGCGTTACTGGTACAACGCGCTCCGTGAAAGCGAGCTGCGGTGATGTTATTTCAGTCCCTCTATTTTCTTACTGCTCAATATCTTTCTGTGCTTTGCACTGTGAGCCTGTCACCTTTCTTGAGCAATATTAAATGATAGTTTCTGATACCTAAGACTTTCTAAGCTCACTTTTTTGTACAATTAAAAATTCACACCAAATAATATTGCATGAAGGAGGAGTAATTAATGGCTATTTTCAAGTGAACTTTATTAAGTCAGTCAGATAACTAATTTTTCATGTTTTATTGCATTATCATCTTTATTATTTTAGTCTGTTACAACATATTACCCCCCTTTGTTCAATGTGTAATGTTTCATCTGCTGTGAAGAAAAGAAGATGTTGCCTGACGCGCTCATGGTGGGGAAAAGATATGTGGTGTTGCCTGCTGCTAAGAATCTGGAACACATGGTCCAGTGAACTGAACAGCTATGACAAATGATTTTATCCCCGGTGCTAGTGAGATCTCAGTGAAATGGGGTGTGACTAGTAGTATTCAGTTATTATTAACAGTAACTTTGTCCATGGTCAATACCTTCCAATCTTTATTTATCGGACCTTTATATAGTGATCTTAGACCAAAGTCCCGTATTAAGCTTTCCTTAATTACTATAAAACTAACCGGTATATAGTGGTCACCTGTATAAAGCGGTTGCCGTCAACTTTCTTGAGGTCCCAATGATCAGTAATTTTTTATTGTCGTTACCGCTACATGTACATCAAATAGTAACTGTGACAAGATGTACCGGCCATTAACTTGTGCCAAAGATACACTTTGTTGGGCGTTGTAAGTGGTCCTTCACATCCTTTCTTTTGGCACAAGAAGAGTTAAAAAGAAACAGTGTTTGCTCTTCCATTATCTTCATTTCCTTAAATAACTCTTAGGTCTGTAAAACCCGTCAACTTGTATTAATTAAGAGGTGAATAAGCCATTTTCATGGATGACCGCCCAGTACAGGTTTGAGTGTATAGGCCGATACACAAGAGGCGTTTTGCTCCCCCTGAGCATGCTCCAAGCTCATTTTGCACGCGTCAGTACACAAGAGGGAGCGTTTTCAAGTTCGCTCAATTTGCCCCGGGAGCTTGCTCCCGAATATTTAACCGGTTAAATATCGTGAAACATTTTGCGGGGTGGAAATTCTGCTCCCGAAGATGAAGTATACCCATGAAATCGTTGGTGCACACGGAGCGAAATCCTTCGTGTGTATCGGTCTTATAGCTTAAATGATATCATTATCTTTCCTTCCCGCTTTAGACGTTTACCATTCTGCCTGAGACTACAATGAAGGTCACCAACGATACACTTTCAATAAAGAAAAGGGAAGATGATCGAGCTATTCAAATAGAGTATGCTAATCCAAATGAGCTTCAGCTTTTCATTGACAAGATGCCCGCCTCTATTAAAGGTAAGATTGTGAAATATAATTTCCTAAACTTTGTTTGATTTTGGATTTGTGACACATGGCAAATGGTTGGACAGGTTGGATCCAGCTTATGGCAAGAGTGGCGTATGGTTTAAAGGTAAAACCTTATATCATATATGTATGGTTCAGGCACAGGCAGCCCAAGCTTATGGATACAGGTAGCCCTCGCTTGTGGTGTAACTAGTTAGTTTGGTTTTGGTTTTTGAATTAAGAAGCAAAGGGTTAACCCTCTGTGTATATGTATGGTCTACTTTTGGTCACAATTAACGGAAAACGAATTAACATTTGACGAAAAAGGTTACATTAAGCCGCATTGTAAGCCTAAATTGTACCAGTTTCAGCTCAAAAAAATCTTTAACGGAAAACGCGATTCGTTTTTTTTAATCTGTGTAAACAGGACACTAATTTCTGTTTTTAGACACCCTTCTGCGCCTTACAATAAAGAAAGCAACAGAAAAAGTTTTTCTTCGACACGTATTAGGCTCTGAAGTATGTAAATGGAACTGATGTTTAGGGTACGAAAACTCAATTGACAATTGACTATGGTGGAAGGCTAATGTACCTTACTAGGCTTTTTTTTAGTTGTTACATTTTACATTGTCAAATCTCCTTTTAATAAAAAGTTGTTACAATTTTTTGTTAAAAGTCATTGCATTTTGCGTTAATGTTACCTTTTGCTAATGGCGGGGAAATTAACGTTTACAAAAAATTGACACGAATTTTTTGAACTTTCATGAAACGTTAATTTTCTTTATCGCCAAATAGACCCCTTCCGTCCAACAGTTTTTTTCCAGCCAAAAACTATCTCCAAGGTAGCCATTATGTATTATGAAATAACTAAGATAGTACGCGCGCTCTGATTGGCCGAGAGCAGTGTTTGCATGAGAGTATGTGGCGTCAAGTTGTTTGGCTTTTCGCGCGATAATCACGCAAGCACCAAATTTGAAAAAGTTTTCGAGTTCAAAAATCGACAAGTTTACTTTATTTACCCATTCCTTCGTCGGCTGAAACATGGAAAATCGTTACAAAGAAGGTGAGTCAATTTTTCTTCGCTTAAGCTGACATTTTAAGCGAGAAAACTCCGTATTTTGCAAAGCATCTTTTTGCAAAACAAGAACTCATTACGCGTGCAAGACTTCGTGGACAAGATTTTGCGACTAGTAAGAATTTCTCTTTTAATCAGTGCCATACAAAGAGTTTTGCGTTTTTTTCTAGGGAAAGTTATTTTATAAAAGTAATAGAAAACTTTTTTCCTGTGTTTGCATAGCCTGATATAAACACTCGAGGCGTTGGGAGAATTCTCGACGGTTATGCAAACCCTCGACTTCGTCTCGGGTTTACATAACTGTCTCGAATTCTCCCAACCCCTCTCGTGTTTATATTAGGCTATGCAAACACGGAAAACGTTTTCTATTGCTTAAATGGTAACAGGACTGATTGGAGTGCAATTCGGTCTGTAATCATACGAGTGAGTAACAAAATTAGACGACCGCGTAGTGTGAGTCCGATTTGTTTAATCACGAGTATGATTAAGTACTGAATTGGGCGACGCGAAGTTCTGTTACCAATTGATCATAACTTTAACAAAATTTGTGAGGTTCTTTTTAAAATCAAAACAGAAGAAATTCCAGTTTTTTTGGCTAGTAGTGAAAAAAAGCCATTTAAGCGCGCGTGATGGCGCGTACTGTCCAATTACTTAAGCATGATGCGTATTGTCCTATGAAATTGTTCAAGTAAGCCTGAAATCAGGGCAGTTGATAGCCAATCAGATTTGAGAATTTTGTTACAGTTATGATTAAAAAACTAAGAGTGCAACTATTGCGTTTTTCTCTTCTCCTTCTTTCTTTCTCCTCGCTCCTTCTTTTTCTCCCGTTTCCCTTTCTTTCGTTGGTGTGATTTTGGAGCTGATCGGGCTTTAAAAAACCTGCCTTTTGACGACTTTTCACTCAAATGACAGCTGATTTCGTTAGGTCATGGTTTTCAAAAAGTCGGCTAGGTTTAGCAAACACAAAAAACAATGATAGAGTAGTCGTTAGTTGGGGAGATGGAAAAGAAAAGGTTTATGGCGCAAAATGTAACCGTGCATCGTTAATTTCCGCCACCTTAATTTCCCTGATTATTTTCGCCTCAAATTCACACACCTAAGCATCAGGACTATTTTATCACCATTCCCAGTAAAACTGTGAAGAATCCCTAAGTGGCCAAATTTCTTCGCTTGACCCTTCTTAAGTTCAGGGAAAGTACCACAAACAAAGTTTCCATTTCGGATTACACGATTAACTTCACTCCTGTTGTCTCAACAAGTTTTGTGTCTTTTTGGACGTCGCCTTACCTATTTCCACTGTTTTAAAATGTTACCCTCTCTCGAGCGTTAATTTCCAGTTCACATTAAATTCGTGGAGCGTTACATTGCTATAATCAGGTAAAAGGCCAAAAAAAAATAAAAAAGGGGAGGGAGCAACAAGGAACAAAAAACAGTTGCTAGAGGGTTAGAACTCGACACTAGCAGCAAACTTTCAGCTTCACAATCGGAGGACTTACAGGTGAAAAGAATGTAACAAAAGAACTTTTGCGTAAAAGTAGAACAGGCGCCACTAACTACATTGCACTTTTTATTTCTGGGTGTTTTAGGCACCCTTAAAAGTAATGTTTCTGTGTAAGTAAACCCTCCCCTAACTAAGGCTGATTATTTCTTTTTTACATGTAGTACACAGTGTGGACGTGAATGCAATAGTCGATTTTAATTTGAATTTGTTTGAGTAAAAATCTAAAATTTTCAACGGAAATTAAATTAAGAGTGGATCCTGTGGAAACATTTTTGCATCAAATCGACAGGTGTAGCGATTCGTCTAGTTACCTGTATTCAGATACAGTTTGTGAGTGCTCCTTCAAACAAGAGACTATTTTAGGACACACACTAAAATATGCTGTGTGATTTTGAAAACAAGCAATGTTAAGTGACAATTGTGTGAAAGGAATTCTGAATTTTGTCTTCTTTTATTAATATTTCGTTCTTTTTGCTCAGGTGTCACTCAGTTTCGAGAGAAGAAATGCAGTGCATTTTCTGGAGAGGCAAAATTTTTAATTTTTCTTTTTTAGGTGAAACTAAGCCAGCTCGTTATGTGGCGCAAGTGATTTTGACTACCTTGTTTCGGTTCTGAATTATCTTTTCAGATAAAATGCAAGATCTACGCGAAGCAATCTCGCCAAGGCGAGCCGCAGAATTACAAAGACAGTTGATGGATTTTCGGCGACGAGAAGAAAACTTCCAGGGACAGTTACGGGAGATGCAGGAACGGGAACAGGATTTACAAAGGCAGCTTAGAGAGTTTCAAGAACGGGATCAGAACTCTGCAGAGTTTCAGCAGCGCGAGGAAAATTCCCAAAGAGAGTTAGGAGAGATGCGGCAGCGAGAAAGGAATTTACAAAGTCAGTTGAGAGAGCTTCAAGAACGGAAACAAAACTCTCAAAGGCATCTAACGGAGTTTCAGCATCGCGAAGAAAATTCCCAAAGAGAGTTAAGAGAGATAAAGCAGCGAGAAAGGAATTTACAAAGTAAATTGAGGCAGCTTCAAGAACGGGAAGAAAACTCTCAAAGGCATCCGACAGAGTTTCAGCAACGAGAAGCAAATTCCCAAAGGCAGTTAACGGAGACAAGACAGCTGACGGAGTTTCAGCAACGTGAACAAAATTCTCAGACGCAGCTGAGCGAGACGAGACAGCAGTTGATAAATTGCCAAGAACAAGTTGCTGAACTACAGTTAAGTCTTTCAACCGCTCAGCTGACGGAGTTTCAGCAACGTGAAGAAAATTCTCAGAGGCAGCTGAGCGAGACGAGACGGCAGTTGATAAATTGCCAAGAACAAGTTGCTGAACTACAGTTAAGTCTTTCAACCGCTCAGCTAACAATAAATCAATTGCGTAGCCAGGAGACACGAGACTGGGTTATTCCCCGCGACGAAATTCAAATCACAGAGAAATGCCTTGGGAGGGGAGGATGGGGAAGTGTCAATGAGGGAACGTATTGTGGCTGTACTGTAGCAGTAAAAGAAATCTACGAATTGATTCTCTCCCCTCATAACATACCTCTTTTTGAGAGAGAAATGAATGTTGCATCCAAGTGCCGCCATCCTCAACTGGTACAGTTTATAGGCGCCACCAACGATGAGGGAAGTCCTCTGATTGTAACCGAGCTGATGGAGAAAAGTCTGCGGACGCTGTTGGAGCAGCGGCAACTCTCTGAAACGGAAATAGCCATCATTTCTTTGGATGTAGCTCGAGCACTGAACTACCTTCATCAGAAGAAACCAGGTCCTATCATTCACCGTGACGTCAGCAGTGCTAAGGTGTTACTATGGCGACAGGGTGACCAATGGAGAGGCAAAGTGTCAGATCATGGCAGTGCTTATGTCATACAGCAGACCATGACATTGGCTCCTGGAGCTATGATTTACAACGCACCTGAAGCATTTACATCAAACCAAACAGTCAAGGTTAGTTTTAGTGCAATTTCAGGACTGTTTAATTACCAAGACTGTACAGCAAGGCTAAGAGTGGCAGAAGTGAAAGTGACCCTTGTCCTTTCGCCAAAACTCACCTTCTTGTCCAATCCACAAACAATTCAATATTCTTGAACTGAAATGACTATATCTTTTTCAGGAGTCTTTGTACCTTGTTCTGCACTTTTTCACTGTTTTATATTCTTCTTTATGCATTTGATCTAAGTATTTGTTTTGTTTAATTAACGTTTCTTTTTATAATTTATCTCTTCTTTTCTCTAAAGACAACAGTTACGGGTTGTCAAAAGTTAATATTTTAAACGACAAAAGATTTAACCCCAGAACGTCCCATGAACTCTGTTTAAGGATATTCTGTTTTCTCTTTTATTTACTTAATCCATATTTCGATAATCATCTGTTTTATTCTTGAGGTTCCGCACCTTGTGGTGCTTTATAATATTACAACGTCCAAATAATGCAATTGAATAATATTCGGGCATAAAGTGATCGATTATAATTGTTGTTAGGTTGATGTCTACAGCTTTGGTGTTCTTCTTTGTGAAATGTGCAACCGGGAACTTCCAGATCCTCGAAGGCGAGAAGAGCAAGTCGTACTTGTAACAAACGGTGTGTTTCGTGGCTTGGTACGGCGATGCCTGCAGAGAGATCCTGGGGCAAGACCAACCATGCAGGAGGTAATTGATAAACTGGAAGATGCCAATGTATCATCTTAATTGTAGAACCAACGGTACCATATCATTGATAATTTGCTGTTTGACGGAAAGGTTTATAAATTATTGGGGAGCTTAAGCAACTAAGACGACGACGACGACAACTTCAAAAAACAATAGGTTTAATGTAAAAACCAATAGATCATTCTCTCTTGTCAAAACAACATCTCTGCACCATCATCACGCTTTTTAGCACATTTCTTTGACGTCCACTACACGACGACGACGTGAAACCTCCTAATTTGACGTTTCATGGAGGACGTGGACATACGACGACGAATTTTCCTTCCTCTTTTTGAACTTGAATAAAATCCTTAACAATTCAACTCCAGGAAAAGTCTCCTACATTTGACATATTGAACGGGTTCAAAAAGACGCGATTAAGTTTGAAAGAACGCAAATTCATCTTTTTAGGGACGCTTTCAGTGCGGTCGTCGTCGTCGTTGCTTAAGGTCCCTATTGGCAAAGCTGAGCCCTTGGCCGGCTCCAGCTGTTCTAATCGTGGAGAGAGGCTCGCGCTTATATATTTGCGCCTTCCCCACTGTCTAACCTATCTGAATGCTAGTGTTATGAAAACTGAAGGGGGGCCTCGGTGCTCTGAGCCTGTAAAGACTGTGAGATCCAGGGTGTCCAGCATATGATTTTCATGTACTGTTTAAAAGACGATTATGAGTGTATTATCAGGCTAAATACACGACCGTGCGTTTTTAGAAGGACTTCAAAATCTGTGATATAGATCAACCAGTTCTTGCACTAATATTTAGATTTGGGCCTATTTTGGTAAAAAAAAAAATTGAATGTAAAGTGTAGCAGTGTCTTTATCAGATATAAAGACACTCATTAACCATAAATTTCTTTAATTTGTTTGTTCTTTGTGAATTTTTGATGGGTTTTGAAGTAAAAATAAACTGATACTTCATTTTTGCGGAAGATTAAGAGTAAGGCCTCAGAGAGACCACCGGGCACTGGTAGAGAACAGCCCTGACTGGACTGATTTGCAAAAATTGCAACAACTTCTGCTTGAAGATTTATTTCGGCTGGAATTCTCATATGAATCTGGTATCTGTATGATCAAACAATAAAGAAAAAAATACCTTTTTCATATGCAATACGGTGCTTACAAAGTATTGCAAAAGTTATTTGTAAATTTATTCAGATATTACTTGCCTAAATGCACTTACTAAGGTCATAAATCCGTAGTAGACAATATAAATCGAAGATAGGAGTAGATATGTATCCTGGGTCGTACACGTAATCTTAACCCAGTTAGTAAAGTCTGTGAAGCAGAACGGAGATCCTTGTTCTTAGCCCGAGCATCAGGCTACCTTGTTCTGGGAATTGTTCTGGGACCTGAACAGACTGAACGAATTACCGGAAATGCGGTTTAAATTCCCCTTCAACATGATTGATTGACGATGGCGTTTTTCAGTGGGTAACGCGTGCTCAGATCCTGGTTCACAGGTGGGGGCTCTCAACAATGGTTTTCGGAGCTGTTTCGCAGACGGACCTAGCCAGAGGTAACAGCTGGTATTTGTATGTAGAGTTCCCTATACTGACGTTAGGCAGCTTACTCATATATAAAGGGAGATTCAATTCTTTAACTCCTATTTTGCACGCTAATGAAGTAGGTTATAGTTAACAAAGCGACCACAATTTTCCATGGTCTACACTCATATAGACCATATAAGTGACGTCAAAAATGTTCCGAACTCAAGTGGAACCACGAACCGCCGGGGAGTGGTTTCACTGCAAAGTTTTTAACATTTTATGGCGTCATTTCTATGGTCTTTAAGAGTGTAGACCATGGAAAATTGTGATCGATTTGCTTTTTACAATAACATTTGTTTTTTACGAAAACCCAAAAACAAAAAAATCGGCACTGCGTGACATGTTACGTCATTTCCATGGTCAATACTCTCATAGACCATAGCTCTCGACCAATCAGCGCGCGAGGATTCGCTCAGTTATTGTAAAAATCAATTTAGATGTGAAATAGCCGACTAATTTGACTGAAGATACCAGTAGATATGTCGCTTATGAAAAGTAAATTATTTAGGGTATACCATTGAATCCGTGTAGTCGGCTGGTAATCGACCCTACGTGGCAGCTTAGTAGGTCCATTAGGCGGTTTTTTTCTTATTATTTAACAATCCAATAGGTAACTTATTTGTAGAATAGAATATTCCTTAAATCATATCTTATTTGTTTATAAGTAGGTCATACAAATAAAATAGACAATGTTCAATAGACAATATTGAGTGAAGACACATGTATATGATTACTCATGAAACGTTTTAGGATAATTATGCAATTAAACCTGTGTGTTCAGTGTAAGCAATTGACAGCAGTTAGAGTTTTCTATAAATCCGAAAATAAGCCCCTCCAAATATGAGCCTCCCATACTCGTAACGCAAAAAACCCCCGTTAAATTCAACTTCGTTCCCAGGGCTTTTTACCTTAAAAAGTGGGAGGGGCGGGAAAAGGCCCTGCAGGCATCGGCCGGTCACATCAGCCTCGGGGGTCACATAACCAAAAAACACCCAGAAATTGTGGGTGTAATAAATTAGTATGAACTGATAAATTCAAGATGGCGGCAATGAAGGGCGAGACGAGGAGGACGGTAAACAATTAAAAAAATCCCCGATGACATTTTAAATGGCCAATGTTCAATCGGTTTTGTCCTTCATGAGGCGCTTTTGAGCGAGGGAGGTCCCAAACTAATGGCAAATCAAGTAAAACAAAGCACCAACGGTACAGTAACATATTAATTTTTTTAGTAAAATCCAGCTAGTGGTCTATTATCAATGCTGCGTTCTGATTGGTTGAGCTACTACTAGGCTACATGTTATAGCCCACTAGTATAGCGAAAAGCGCGGGCTTTGAAAACCAAAACAATGGCTTCAAGTCTGGCTTTAACTAGCTAAAGCTGTTTTGTCTCGATATCTTTAACCAACTAGTTGAATTTTACTAAAAAAATTATTCCCCTCACCCTCATGGGCTATGCCGGACTCAGAGCCCATTCGGGCTCGAGGAATAATTGTTAAGTGTTTGCCAAAGGACTATTACGTGTACCAGTTTATTGCCGTTTGCGAAGTTCACTCTTCACTCTTGGTTTGGATTTCCTCGGTCCATATAGACAAAGAACTTGCATAGCTGCGTTTTAGAAAGGTCTACTGTACCGAACTTGTGGGGCACAAAATAGCTTGCTTAAATCATAAATCCTTCTTTTATTTAAATCACCATCTGCTCGTACATTTTCCTCTCCGACCGATCTCAGCCAAAGGTAATTTTACACTACTCTCTTTGTCCGCTACTCCGATTTCAAATGTCAATCAAAAAAGGATAACACCAATACGATACTAAAAGAGTCACATCCAGTTTAAATGAGTGTCACGACATTTACGTTCACGTTTCGGTCACGCTTCCCTAAAAATTGATTGGAGCTCAATTTTTAAACCGTCCTTGTTCCAGTTAAGTAGCAACGTTCAATAATCTTCCTCGTTCTCAAAGACTTGACGAATCTTCTCTTTGGCTGTTTCAGCTGCTTGTCTTCTGATTCTGGTTCCTTCAGGCGGTTGGCTTTGTACGGTTGGCACTCCTTTGTCGCTCGTTACTACCTGTTTTATTTCCAATGGGCACACGAGGTTAAGCGGTCTATCAATGTGGTGTCTCTTGTGAAGCAATGGTAATCCTAGGACAACTCCATCTTTTCCTTGTATATGTCGTACAACCTTTCCTTTTTACCACTCTCCTCGATTTTTCTCGTCTGCGACTATCAATACAATTTCTCCGATATGTGGTACCTTTGCGGTCTTGATTTCATCAGTACACAACACTCCTCTCCGCTTTTTTCTCATCCGTTTCTTTGCAACTTGTTATCTTTGAATCTTATGGCCCAGGCAGTGATTCTCAGTACAGTCCAGAACGGTTTGCCCTTAACAACTGATCCCACTCGTCAGGCTTGTGTTCTCTAGCGCTCGCTACGACCTCTTTCAGTGGCTTTTCTTCCTCGCTTGCCTCCGTTGAACGTGCTAGTGTTGGTTGTTCTCGCCATTTTTCTTCTTGCTGTAACCTGTCGGGTCCAGTGAACCAATCACCTTTCTCCATCTTGTCTACCGACACGCCTCTACTTCCTAGGTCGGCTATGTTCTTGTCTGTTGGGAAGTATTTCCAAGAAATATTGAGCTTCTCTGTTACTGTTGCGATCTTCCGGACTCGATTTGCCACAAACACCTTCCAACTATTTCCAGGATTCATCAGCCAATAGCGTGCCATTGTAGTGTTCATCCATATGGTGATGGAACCAACGGGCCACTTAGTTAGAGCTTGTTGTACGTTATTGGCCATGTTTGCTGCCATGTGTCCTGCCACCAGCTCTAGTCTGGGCATCGTGGTATTTCTCTTGGAGATTCTTGACTTCGAAGCCAGTAGTCCTTGCACTGTGCCAGTATCTTGCTTAAATAGGGCTATCGTTGCTGCAGAACAGGCCAGGCTGCTTGCGTCGGCAAAAAGGTGGAGATCAACAGATTTGACTTCATTACATTGTCTAACAAGGCTTCTAGGGACCTTTACACTTCGGAGTTGAGCTATCCACTTCAACCAGGCTTTCGCTAGTTCTTCAGACACCACTACATTTCATCCCAATTTCTCATCACAAGTCTCCCTGTGGATGTGTTGTCCCTGAGCCATGGTACATAATTTTGCGCCATTTCAAGTCATACTTCAAGAAAGTTGGCTTTTTCACCACATCATCGGTATGACATTATGTATGTGGGCCATGGCCTACCCCATGGTGTAGGCCATGGTGTTGCGGGTGGTCAAATTTCCAAACAAAAGTAAAGATATAAATAAATCTAATATTAATATTTATGCTGCCATTGTTTTACGACTACATAAGAGAGAATGTATGAGAACTGCTAAAATTGAGCCTGGTGTTTAGAGACAAAAACAACTTCCGGTTTCTGTCGTCGTAAAAAATATGAAATTAATAATTTCTTTATTTCTTATTTTCATTCTGTTTGGAAAATTGACCACCCCCACACCTGGCATGGCCTACCCCCTATTTTGTCCTTACCCTGAATTTTTGGGTATTGAAGTGGCAAATTTCTGCCAAGAGGTAAGGTTATTTTTAGCGGGTGTTTACTGTTACTGTCTCTATAATAAAACCAGTCAAACCTGTATCATACGGTCACCAAAGCCCTGGAAATAGCTTCCCTTAATTATTGTAAAAACAGATCTGTATTTAGCAGCTACCTCTAAAGTCTTACAGGACATTCAATAAATACACACCTTTTGCTGTGTTTGAAGCAGTGGTAGCGGCGATTTGTATCTAGCTTGTTGAGACTTTTATAACGTGGAAGTGTCTTGTCTCGAGGCCAGAATGCATTTATGCCAGTAATTCTGACAGGAAGGACATGGTTTACAGCTCCGCACAGCTGTTAAACACATCGAACAAGCACTGTTAGCCGCCATGCATTTCTTGGAAATTGAAGGGGCTGTGTAAGCTGGCTCTTTTATATCTCAGCGCTTGAAGTTAAATCAGGGCATTCAGTTTGATGTGAGCCTAGAGTGAGGACCATAGAACTGAGCTTCAACCCAACCACAGTGCAGGTTAAAGGGACAAAGGTAAATTTTAACCTTTTTGTTCAATAACTTTAAATCAACATGCCCAGGTACTACATAAGCGATGTGGTGACTTTGACACCATACGAAGATATCAACAAAACCGTCATGGCCAACCTCGACCCAACAGCACTCTTTCATAACATCAGCAACTATGACTTGTTCGTGTGGATGCACTATTATGCTGCACGAGACACAATTACCCCACTTAACATGACACGGGCAGATATTGAGTTTGCTTATGACGGGCAGGGGTTTCCCACGTGGCATCGACTGTACATGTTGGCTTGGGAAAGAACCTTGCAGGATATTAGTAACAATGAAAACTTTGCCAATCCTTTTTGGGACTGGACCAGAAGTAAAACACAATGTGATCCCGCTATTTGTTAGATAGATAGATAATTTATTAAAACAAGTACATGGGCAGTCTGAGGCTGAATTGCGTATTTACAAATAAAACTAAGCTAAAAATATAATAATTTACAATATATCAATATTAAAATTTCATGCATATATAATATATAAAAGCATTGAAACCGAATCATTTAATAGTACTTTAAAAACGATGACAAAACAAAATTAATTGTTCTTAAAATGGTCTGTCTACCACTTTGGAAGTGCTCAGTGTCGCTGATGTCTTAGTGAATATGGAGCTTTATTGGCTTCAGTTAATTACTTGTCAAATTTGTTATCCTTGTTGCCGAGGGCAGCGTTAAAAACCTTGTCCTGTCCCGATTTGAAATAATGGTTGGAATTTCAGTTTCATGATTGACAATGCCCTTTATTGGACCCGCTGCAGCTCATACCGTAAATACTTGGGCAGAGCATAGAAGAATACAAGCGATTCATAAACTAGGATTGATCATTTTTATATTTTAAAAGAGGACTAAGTCCCTGTTGTGAAGAGCTTCCTGGTGTAACAAACCAAGCGGATGGAACTGTGAAGGGCAAATATTTGACAACTGGTACGTCATTTCCACCAGTGAATAAACCTACTATATTCCCTGACAAAGATGTGTGACCCGACGAACAAGAAACCTGGTTTGGTATGGATCACTGAGAAGGAAAAGGAAGAAAAAGTAAGAAAATAGGAATATACAATGACATTTCTAACCAAAGAAGAAGTCAATTTTGCTCTGAGGTTTAAAAGTGTTGACCTGCCACCCTATGGCAAAGAGTCAAGCTGCAATTTTAAAAACATCCCGGAAGGCTACATCAGTACAAATACCGGTTATTGCCAAACTTCACACCCTACATAACCAGGTTCACATAGTCATAGGTGGAGCCATGGGGGATGTGCTTTAGCGTCAAGGACCCCATCCTCATAATCGTTCCTTTCCAGATCATATTTATGAGAAGTGGCTTCGCGAGTTTAACAAGAACGCTTCGGTTCTTTCAACTTACGATGCACCCATCGGACACAACAAAGATGACGTCATCGTACCACTTTATCCTGTGTATACTCATCAAGGGATGTTTAAGAAGTCTTTCGAGTTCGGTTATGATTACGACGATGTCGACGAGAATGGTAAGTACAGAAGACGTTTCTGTATGAGCTTACTTTACTTTTTCCTTTAACTTGTGTAACTGTTGTTGAGTTAAAGATTAAGTTTTGGTTAGCCATTAGTGACGCATAAGATCAAAAATGCCGTACCTCGTGCGTTGTTGCTTGATAGAGTTAATGCGAAAGATCTATGTGCGAAGTTAACTGCGTTCATTTGCGAATCTATTCAGGCGCACAGAGAGGACAATCGGTAAGCGTATTTTTCTCTCCCCTTGTTGTTTTTGTTTCAGTATTTGATCGATTATTGTTAGGTTTTCTGTGCGCTCGTCTTTCTTGTATTGTTATGTAATAACTATTGCTTTAGCTTAGCTCCGTTTCATGTCGCTTAGACTAGGTTTTGTTGTTTGTATTTTCAGTTTGACGTGTTTGACATCAGATTAAATTGCATTGGAATCACAATTCGTGTCTGGTGTTGAATTTCAGTGCATCGATGTCCTCTTAACTTGCGACATTCCTACGCTGTTAAACGCCTGCATTTACAACTTGCATTTGAATAAGATTTGGTGTAATTGGTACCCCGTTTCGTCAACGTGTTTAATAGCTGTAGTCGTTATTGTGGCAGAGATATTTCCAGGATCGATCTTGTTACCAAAAATTTGCTAGTAAATTGTTTTCGCGGTTGTCGGAAAAGAAATGATAAAGCAGAATTATGTGAAATAATCATTTTCAAATGTCGCAAAAATCGCAAGAATAACAAATGTAACCGCAAAATTCAAGACTTAGAAAAAGAAGAAGCCCAGAAGGGCCCCGAAAAGTCCGCAAATGTCGCAAAAATCGCAAATTAAAGAAAAAGATTTCTCTTGCTAGCTAAAAACGCCGATGACAAATATCGCAAATATCGCAAGAATGAAAAATGTAACAAAATCCTACACTTAGAGAAAGAAGAAGCCAAGGAGGGCCCCTCTCGCAAAAATCGCAAATTAAAGTAACAAGGATTTTTCTTGCTAGCTAAAGACACCGATTAACAAGCATCATAAGAATTACAAAGGTAACAAAATTCTATAGTTAGAACGAGATAAGGCTAAGAAGAGCATCGAGACGCCCGCAAATGTCGCAAAAATTGCAAAAGTAACAACGAATTTTCTTGCCAGCCAAAAACACCCAGTAACCAATATCGCAAAAATCGCAAGCATACCAAATGTAACCAAAAGAGAAAAGCCAAGAACGGCCTCGAGAAGCCCTCAAAAATCGCAAAAGTAGCAAGGAATTTTCTTGCTAGCTAAAAACACCGAGTAACAAATATGGTGGAAATAACTAGAATGACAAAGGTAACTAAATTCTAGACTTAGAAAGAAAGAAGGGTAGGAAGGGCATGGAATTGTCGAAAAAATAGCAAAAGTAACAAGGATTGTTCTTGCTAACTAACAACACCTAGTAACAAATATCGCAGAAATAGCAAGAAGAACAAAATAAACTAAATTCTAGACTTAGTAAAGTTTAGAATTATTTAAAGAATAAGAAAATTGAGAAAAATCGCATATTGATTCATCACGTCTAAGATTTTCACCCTGGTAAAATGTCAGTCAAAAGAAGGAAAATTCAGTTTAAAAAATAGCCAAATAATTATGACAGTAGCCTTGTTGTAGCTGTTTCGTAGTAGAAATTTAGTGGTCTGCAGTATGCCAGTAATGGGTCAGACGGTATCTGTGACAATGTATTAATTTTCATTTTTTGGGTTTTTTGAACCTTAACTCCACAGAGGGGATTTCTTAAATCAGATGTTTTCGGTGAAACATTCATGTTATGACATTCTGTATTTGTATGGCCTCGGTCTTTTGATCTCCTCTCTTGCTGTTTTTGTTATAAATGTTCATGATTCATGAGTAATAGAACGAAAGCACACATAAATGAAGCCTTGTATTAATTGTTACTTAAAATAAATGGATTCGCATACACATATAAATAATATTCATTTGGTAGTTGTTGTTTAACTCTAAGCCTTAATTTAAAAGGGAAGAGTCAACAAATCACTGCCAATCCCTGTTTAAAAAACTATGGGTATGTTACTGAATCTTTTCACATAGCAAGAAAATTATTGTTACTTTTGCGATTTTTACGAAATTTGCTATTCCTTCTCTACTTTCCTGATAGCAGTTTTCTTTAAATCTTTTTTGCTAAAACTGCGAAAAGAACTTGTTAGCAAATTTTTGCTAACAAGATCGATCTTGGACACAAGTGGAGACACTTATCTCTATTCAGCAGTGCAACATTTGTTCCCCGTACGAAGCATAATCACCAGTGGTATGAAAATCAATTTCCTGATTATCCAGCTGATCGAAAAGCTTTGATTCCATTTGTGTATTAAAAAGACAGATGAGAAAATTGTTGTGAAAATTCCTTTCAAATTGCCAGTTAAAGCAACAGTATTCGACTTATCTAGCGGTAACCAGTAAAAGTTACCGCCTGATTTTTCAGTCAAGCAACACTTCTTACCGCCTTCAACCGCTTGAAGGTTTACTAGAATTAAATAAGCAGTTACAAGTTGTGATCCGATTCGATCAAGGAACTCAGGGGGATAAATTAATATATGGAAAAGGACTAAAGTATACACAGCTTTTCCGTTTATGGGCCGCACATTTTAGAAAGAGAGCATAAGACACAAGTAAAATATTATTGGGATCAAACGTTTTAAATTGTTGTCTAAAGATAAAAAATATAATAGGTCTTAAAATGACGTTTCAAAGAACTTAGCTCCTCCTCGGGTGGGGCCATGTCCCTGACTTCAGTACCCCTTCCCCCACCAGGAAAGTGCACCTCTGGGGCATATTTTTTGCCTTTACTGCTGAGCTCAAATTTAAGGAGAACACTGAGCAAGAAAGTGAAGCTTTGGAAAGAAAGCCCACAGCTTTGTATACTGACAATAATTTATTATTATTGTGAGTATACAATTATTCGTAATATTTTACTCCGCTAAACATTGGGCTGGCAATTTCTTTCTTCCAGCAAGGCGAAGATCTGTCACAACCAGTTGTGTTAAAAAAAGACCTGTTAGCAACCCATGAAGAAAATAAAAAAATAAAAAAATTTAATGAGTGTTTTTAAAAATGTGCGGAAAATGTGATTTCATTTTTGTACCTCCAATTTTCTGGGAAAAATTATCATTGAGAATTAATGATAAGATCTAACAGATCTAAATAAGCAATTTTTATGCCTTTCAATAAACTCACAGTTTAATGTCTTGTCAAGTCGAAAACTCTGAACTGTGTTGTGTTCTTAACGTAGTAAAACGCTTCTGCCATTTTTAATTAGTGAACGGTACTTCTCAAATAAAATATCTGAGTGCATAAACTTTGGTTGTTTTGGTCATTAAAAACAACTCCTTTGCCGCCAATTAGTCAGACATGATCCCAATAGAATGTATAAGATTCTGGAGAACTGCTCTCCCTCCGCTCCCGTTATGCGACATTTTACCCCAATATTGAGTTAGGGGAGGGGTAGGTGGGGTATGTCCCAGAATCTTATACTGTTTTAGACACACTTTTTACCCTTAAGTGTTTCCACAAAATCCTCAACTAAAACCTCTTCAGCAGTATTTTTCCACGGTGCTAATTTAGTTCAGTTATTTTCGTTTTCGTGGCCCAGGAATCATAAAAATTGGGATTTTGCTGGTAAGAGACCCAGGGATGGAATACCTGACCGAAGCTTAGGCACAGCGTTTCTGCTGAGGATTTCAAACCTCGTAATTGTTGAGGACCAAAAATCTTCACCCAGTGAGGAGGTGCCCAATAAACTGAAAACTTCCTCTCGACTGAAAATGTCGTATTTATTGTTTGTGTGCAGTGGACAGCCAAGAGATGTGCCTAAACGTGTGACGCACGTGCAAAGTTGTTATTTTGGTGACAAGTTAGATTTTACCTAACGATTTTTTTTTCTACACAGTCTGCCGAGTCGAGGCGTTGCCGCTGCTGTCGTGAGTTTTGTACACCCTTATCTTGAAACTGTTTTGCAGGGCTTTACTGGTAAATTTTTGCCGAAGTTCTGGCCATCGAGTTAAAAAAGGGGGTTTGACATGCAGTTCTTCATAAAACTTTATGTGCGCGTGCAATACTTGTTTTTTGATTGGTTAACAAAAAAACAGACGATACCTAATTAGGAAAATTTTTGCTGCCAATATTGATTGGCGCTAAAAATATGAAGCACACGCCACGATGACAGCGAAAACTTTGTCATACGGAGAAAAGAAAGTTTAAACGGAACGAACTGAGACCGTCCTGCTTTGGTAAGCTTCTTCTTGTCTCTGTTGTATCACAGTGCTTTCAGCTTTAAGGTGGCTCGACTGGATTTTTTGGGGTTGATACCTCCCATCGTTGAGCATTAACTAC